TGAATAAAAGTGGTGAGAGTGGACATCCCTGTCTTGTTCCTGACCTTAGGGGAAAAGCTCTGTCGTTCCCCATTGAGGATGATTTTGGCTGTAGGTTTTTTATATAAGGACTGTATTATGTTGAGATATGTCCCCTCTAGACCTACGCTGCAGAGAGTTTTTATCAAGAATGGATGTTGTACTTTGGCAAATGCTTTTTCTGCATCTGTTGAAATGATCCTGTGGTGTTTATCCTTTCTCTGAATGATGTAATATATCACGTTGATTGTTTTGTGAATATTGAACCACGCTTGCATCCTGGAAATAAATCCCACTTGATCATGGTGTATGATTTTTTTAATACATTGTTGGATTCGGTTTGCTAATATCTTGTTGAGGATTTTTGCATCTGAATTCATGAGAGATATTGGCCTGTAGTTCAGAGGAAATTAAGTTGTTCTGCTTTTACCAAGTAAGTTTGAAGCCTTCTGAAAAATGTCGATTTGGAAGATTTTTAAATCAGCTGGAAGATTACATTTCCAGATTGAGTGTGTGATTTATGGGAGACATATGTTTTCACAATGTCACTTATAGATGTAATCACTTTCCTTTTTTAAATGTTCTATCCACAGAACAAGTTTAAAAACATTTTAAACTCACTGTTAAAATACTGCTCTTCTCTTGAAAGAATGGAGTAAGTGTATTTTTTAAAGCTTCTGTTGTTACATTATTACAGTCATTTGTCATCTTGGAAAATTTGGAACATTTTTCTTTTTGTGAAAAATGCATAATTCTTTTAAGATGTAGAACTCTTTTTAAGTACTAAACAATTAAATAGTATACCTTTATAACTCTTCCTGTGGTATTGCAAAGTATTCAGTATCTATAAATCCATTTAAGCAAACATCAACTGCTGTATGCTGTAATCATGTGAATAAAGTAGTGAGATCCCCACTTTCAGACCCTGGGCAGTATTTTTCCCTCAGGTTATCTTCCTCACTGTATCTGACACACAGCTATTTGCTTTATGGCCAGAGTTAAGGCACCAGTGTTATTATGCATAAAAAAATATAACAATTTTTAAAGAAAAAATACATACACAGCAATTTTGACTATTTTCTGCCTGTATCTCAGTGGATCACCCTTGAGGTGTGAGCACCCACTTTAGAGAACAGTGCAGAATATCACGATAGCCTCTTAACTGCTCATGTGCCCCAGTAAGACTTTTTTCTTATTCATAAAATTTTATGATCTTTACTATTAAATTAATGCAGTCTTAGGCGAGAAAGATAGACTGAGGTTAGATTTTGTTTTGGTTGTGGGTGGTAGTTTGATACCATGTATCATTATCGTTTTTGATGCAATCACTGGAGGAAGAGATTTTTAATCTTTTTTTCTGTCACATGGAATCTAACATGGTTTTAGAAAAAGTAGGAGTCAAAGTCTCTATTTCCCTTTCTCAGCTTTTACAAAATCTGTTTCAGGATTGGTCATTTTCTTTTGTTTTTTTTTAAAGATGTATTTATTTGACAGAGGGCGCAAAAGCAGGGGGAGCGGGAGAGGGAGCAGCAGACCCCCCCACTGAGCAGGGAGCCCAATGTGGGGCTCGATCCCAGGACCCTGGGATCATGACCTGAGCCAAAGGCAGATGTTTTACTGACTGAGCCACCCAGGCGCCCTAGGATTGCTCATTTTCTAAGACACTGAAATGTATGTACATAGACCTACATGCTTTGTGTATCTATGAAAGGCTTCGTTAGAATTTAAAATGCTATTTATAGTCCGGCGGCCTTTCTCTGCTTCTGGCCCTCCCCTCTGACTCTGAGCAAGCGTTCTCTGGTTCTGATGGAGGCACTGATTTTTGTAAAATTTTATTAAATAAAATGGCCTGGACAAGCCCCCCCCAAAATAAAATAAAATGCTATTTATAAAACCATTGGAATTTTTAAATTTAAAAGGTTCCCAAAGTTTGAAAGCAGGAATATATCTGGCTGGAGAGGTATAGTCCCAGTGATAGCAAGAGGGGGAAAAAAGTGATTTTTTTTTTTTTTTTAAATAAAAAAAAAGTTTTTTTTTTTTTTTTTTTCTGAAAATGAGTATTAATGAAGTAAATGGGTTTACTCAAATTTTTCTGTTACAGGAAAAGGCATTAATAGCTGCTCAGCTGGATAATGCTATTGAAAAGGAATTGCTGGAGAGACTGAAACAAGATACGGTGAGAAAGCCAGGAACTTTGGGATGTAAATTTTATTTTTTAGACCAATATCATGCTAGGAAATAGTGGGGAAATGTGTTTTATTTTCAAAGATGCTGGAAAGAGCTTCACTTTGATTTTGTTCCTGGAATAAAACAAATATATAGGCCTTGGCTTCTTCATTTTAGTTCCAGATCTCTGTATAAAAGACATGCAGTTTTGATCCTCCTGCATATTACCCTAGTCTTCTAAGGTTCTTTAAAATGAGTTTTTAATTCTCTTTTTAAAAATTAGTGTCATTTAAAAGACAAAATGAATAAAACTTACTTTTTCCTTATCATTTCCTTTCTGTCAGCAAATTTACGTTTGTTCCAACCCATGGGTTTTATACACTACTAAATTTTAAGTGATGTGCTTTTCTATTCTTCATGGAAGTTACCTGATTTTAACCACTGATTATTTAAAATGTACTTTTAAAGACATTGTCGGTTCTAGGCTTGAAATTAATACAGAAATATTACTACTTAATCAAATTAAGTATTCTCATTTAATCACTGAGGAATATGGCTTATTGGACAGTGGACTTCAAGTGTGAGATTGAGATGTCATTAAAGCCGGTGTGTGTTTCTGTCCTGCAGTATGGCGACATCTACAACTTCCCCATTCATGCCTTCGACAAGGCCCTGGAACAGCAGGAGGCAGAGAGTGACTCTTCAGATTCTGAGGAAAAAGATGACGAAGATGAAGAAGTAAGCCTTGTTTGTTTTTGCTTCATCACGCAGTAATCTGTAGAACTAGATCTCTTTACCTGTACTTGAGAGAATATCATTTTCATTCCCCTAACCAAAAATAATTCTTTGGTCATTTTTTTCTATCATGAGGTTAATTTTAGTTCAGCCAACAAACTATTTACACATTGACAATTTTAATCTTACTTATAGGCATTCTAAAATTTTTCCTGCAAGGGGACAAATGAAGAATCCTCATCCGCTGATAGAATATACCATTAAAGGGACGCCTGGGTGGCTCAGTCGGTTAAGCATCTGCCTTTGGCTCAGGTCATGATACCGGGGTCCTGGGATCGAGTCCCACGTCGGGCTCCCTGCTCAGCGAGGAGCCTGCTTCTCCCTCTGCCTGCCACTCCCTCTGCTTGTGCTTTCTCTCTCTCTCTCCCTAATAAATAAATAAATTCTAAAAAAAAAAAAAAAAAAAGGAATATACCATTAAAGAACCTACTGAAATTTATACAGGATTTAATTTCACTATTAATATAGGGGAGGTACTGGAATGATTGTATTTTTAGGAAAAGGCCAGATTTACCAAGTAGTTGCTTAATCACATGGTACACTCACATAGGCACATAGGTGTATTTTTTTTTTTTTTTTTTTAAGATTTTATATATTTTTTTTTTTTTTTTTTTTAGCAAGAGAGGGAACACAAGCAGGGGGAGTGGGAGAGGGAGAAGCAGGCTTCCTGCTGAGCAGGGAGCCCGATGTGGGGCTCGATCCCAGGACCCCGGTATCATGACCTGAGCTGAAGGCAGATGCTTAACAACCGAGCCACCCAGGCGTCCCCTTAGGTGTACTTTTCCTAAGAGTAACCCTTTTTTGGTACTTGAAATTAATAGGTTTAATTAAACATACAGAATTGTTTGTAAAGCCCTACCTGTATACTGATTTTTTTAAACAAATTAAAATGAGGATGTTTTACTCTCTGATGATTTATATTAGGCATGAGAATTGATATCCCTGAAATGTTTTTAAATCAGAAGTATTAAACTTGGAAAAAGTAGATTTTGGTTGAGCCTAGAGTCTGGAATCTCTTTGTTATTTATGCACTTATCAAAGAATAAAACGATGTGTAAGCTGAATTTTCATTCTGTATTTTGAACTTAACAGCTATGTGTTTTTTTTAGGATGTGGGGAAGAGAGAGTTTGTGGAAGATGATGAGGTGGAGGAGAGTGACATAAGTGATTTTGAGGTGAGATTTTGGGCTTTCAGGGAAAAGAAGGTTTCTGAACACACAGGCAGATAAATTCTCTGGTTCTAAATTGAGAGTACAATGAAAGGAATTTGGGGGATGAATTTTCTCTTTTCTTTCCCTCTATCAGGATATGGATAAACTGGATGCCAGCAGTGATGAAGATCAGGATGATAAATCCTCCATCGAGGAAGAAGAAAAGGCCCTTGATACCAGACATAAAGGCAAAACACCCTTGAAAGGACCCTTGCAGAGAAAACGAGCCTATGTGGAGATAGAGTATGAGCAGGAGACAGAGCCTGTGGCCAAGGCCAAAACAACGTGACTTTTCTTTGGACATTTATAAATAGGACTGAACATTTTCAGCATCCTCCTTTCTTTTACCATAAACGTGCACACCTCCAGTTTTTGCTTTCATATAGTACTTAACACAATATTTGTGTTTTTAATATTTATGCTACTTCTGTGGGGCACGAAATCTGGGAGGGAGCGGAGGAAGCCTTAAGTTGTGAACAGAGTATTTTTATAGCGTTGGCATATGCTTTGAAGTAACAGCTTGAGCCCAAGAAGCTTAACAGATGAATTTGTGGGTATAAATATTTCTAAATTTTAAATGCTATCCACCCATTTCCTTGGCGTCCTCCCCTCCAATCCCCCAACTTTATTTAGAAATGTCCAGACTTCATTTTTTTTCTTGTTCTCTTTTCCCTACTTCTTTGGGAATAAAAGAAGGAAAAAGAAGGTCTAAGTTATAATGTTTAGTGTGAAAATACCTTTTTTCTTAAACAATTCCATTTACACAGTCGGAACAAGAAGAAAAGCCTTCCTGCTTTAGGAAAGACAAATTTAAGTTCCGTCGCAGGACGCGCCTTCAGACACCTGCTGCACTTTTCTGATACAGTTCACCACCTTGCTGTCTTCACAGCTTTGGAGAATTCTGACCAGGAGACCCTAAAACATGAAACCAAATAGGCTTTGATTTTTCTTTTTAATTGGTATTTCTTTTCCTTTTACCTTGGTTCTTCTTTCTTGGTACCATACTCAAAGAAAGGATGAACAGACAAGACTAGAGAGCAGTTTGTGGAACAGGTGTTAACGTTAAAAACAGTGTCGTTGTACATGGAAGTGTCCTGCTGGCTCAGGAAGAAGCGAGTTAATACCAGCCAATGCAAATCAGATTGGATCCAGGGACTCGAAAACTGCCTGAGATGAAAGAGCCAACACAAAGTAATTTGAATAAGCTGATAAAACAACAAACTATACTATTTCTAAATACTTTTAGGATACGAATTTCTTTTCACGCTGCTTTATAAATTTAAATATAAATTTAAATTGAAGATTTCTAAATGGAAGAAATGAGGCAATAGTTTATTAAATATATATAAATATACACACATAGCTATTATATGCTTTGGCTTTGAGAAGTTAACTTTTGTGGAATATGAAACTAAAGGAAGAACTCCCATGTGGATAAATAAGAATATGGAAAAATACAGTTGCCCCAGAAAAACTGGAAACATTTCTGGGATTGATCTGAATCACTCTACTTACATTATTACTCCTTGGTGGTTTATAGCTCATTATTTCACCATTTAAAAAAAAAAATTCAGACGACTAAAACAGAACTTAAGTTTTATAAACTCAATCTTTTGTGCATTTTCTGTCCTCACCCCAGAAACCTTACCTTTTGGTCTAAATTCTGAATAGCTTTAAAAGAAAAATAAGGTGTTAATCAACCTCTGTTGAAGGCTAGCGGTCTCCAAGGTGGGAACCTGAACCCTCCATGTTCATTTACAAACTTGGTCAGGCATGTGAACAGTAAATTTTCATCAGTCATAGGAATTACTTAAGGACCAGGTTGCAGACTCTCTTACCTTCACCTGTCCTTGAGAACAGTGGTCCAGGAGAATCAGGCAATCTGTGGCTTCCTCTAATAAGGTGTTCTTAACAGGCTCAGGTGTAAGGTTTGGATCCTTTGCTACATCGCATATCAGTTTCAGGAGAGCCTTCAGTAAGACCACAAGTCTACAGGAAACTCTGGAATCAAGAAGAAAAAGTTATGTTCATACTCTAAATCAGGATATTAAAACTGAGATTTCAAAGGCCATCTAAGTTGTAAAGCCCTCATTTCCTAAATGAACTAAAGTGAACTGACTTAAAGACCACGGAGCTAGAAGCAGAACTAGAGACCATACACCAGATTTCTTAACTGCGAGCCCCTCTTTTTCTCTGCAGCATAGTGTGTACTCATATACACACACTGGCCTAAATACCTTGCTCCCTAACAGAAGCTTGGTTCTACTGTAAGGAAATAATCCCTCCTGAAAAGGGAGAACTGGGATCTCCCCTTACCAGGGGCTTAGACTTTAGGCCAGAGAAGCGGAAATGGTCCACAGTACTTTAACTTTTATGTAGTCTTGGGCCTGGAAATTTTTTTTTTTTTTTAGATTTTATTTGACAGATAGCGAGAGCAGGGGGAGTGGGAGAGGGAGAAGCAGCAGGCTTCGCGCTGAGCAGGGAGCCCGACGTGTGGGGCTCCATCCCAGGACCCTGGGATCAATGACCTGAGCCGAAGGCCGACACTTAACGACTGAGCCACCCAGGCGTTGGGCCTGGAAATTAAAGTGAGAGAAAGAAGCTTGGTTTCAGGGACCTCACTGTCAATTAGAATTTTCTGTCCTTTAGTTCCAGATCCTCGCTTACCGTCAGTTAAGCCCAGCCTATTTACTTCAACTTATTAGCCTTTCTGAAGGTTTTTATCTTGATAAAAAAAATTCTGGAAAAGGATAGTGGTGATGGTTGTACAAAATTGTGAAGGTACTTAATGTCACTGAGTCCACTTTTAAATGGTAAATTGTATGTACTTTTTTTTTTTTTTGAAGATTTTATTTATTTGATTTTTTTTTTTTTTGGGAACACAAGCAGGGGGAGTGGGAGAGGGAGAAGCAGGCTTCCCGCTGAGCAGGGAGCCCGATGCGGGGCTCGATCCCAGGACTCCGGGATCATGACCTGAGCCGAAGGCAGACACTTAATAATGACTGAGCTACCCAGGCGCCCCTGTACTTTTTTTTTATATAATAAAAAAACCTTAAAAGCCTTAATCAGAGCTGAAAAATAATTTGTAGTGGGAAAATATGCATACTAAACCATATTTCTGGGCAGAAATGTGACTGGAAGAATAAAAGTTTGCATCCCTCGATTTAGAAAATATGAAGCCCGTTTCTTACCTTGTTTGCTGCTCAGCTTTCCTACCTGTCATCAACATAAAACCTGTTTCCCACTTCCCAGCCCCACTCCTTCCATACAGGCATTCATTTTCTAACCTTCCTACTTGGGCCTGCCAATCTCCACCTGGAACGTTTACTGGATTCAATTTCATTCATCCATCCGTTCAGTCTGTTCTAGTCCATTCATTCTAATATTTGTGTATGTAATAACCAAGTACTGAGAAAACTTGTATACTCAGTATCCCAGAGTGGGCTTACAGTTCAGTAGGGAAGAAAGGGAGTAAACAAAGACAGTCCAGTAATAGACCTAACTAAGGGTAAAGACTGGGAAGCTTCTAAGGAAATAAAGAGTATTATGGTTCAGAACAGACAGAGATGTTTTTGGAGCACTGGACTCTAGGTGAATTAAACTTTGTTGTCCATGCAAGAAAAGTATTTGCTGACAAAACATATCTGGGTTCCAGTTTATTGTTCCTGACACCAACCTCCAGCCAGAGTTGGAATGCTTTCTAAGCAATCATCAATTAGTATTCTCCTGGTCACTACTCTGCAGATATTCAGTAATGTGTTACGAAGTTCTCTGTTCTCAATTAGATTTAAAAAACTTTGGGGTGAACAAAGTTAAGCATTGTATCACTTCTAAATAGCCTCTGAAATTCTAATATACATTATAAACCTAGAGAGAGGTACCCCTGCAGTAACAATGGGTATATTTTATCTTTTCAATGCGACTTCCTCATTTCAATATCCAACAGAAATGTAAAAATGGAGATATTCAAATATAAGGTATGTCCTTAAGACTTTGTACTGAAAGTACACCTGGGCAATTTCTGAAGAGAGTATTGGCTGAGTTCTGCCCCTCTTGGCACACCTGCCTGCTTGGCTGTTTTACCTGGGCCATGCATACTGCATGAGCAGTTTCAGAGTTTCCAGTATCTTCAATCTGGCCTCCTCCTCTGGTCCATCATAAACCTCCAGATAACCAATGATGACTCGCTCCAGCCTCTTTAAGTGCCGGACACTTAGAATCCCCAACCTAAAAAGGAAAGAGAAAATGTGGCACCAAGGAGATGAAGAGTAGGCCGGACCAGCAGCCCAGGCACTCGCCTCTTCACAAACGCTGGGAGGTTTCTCGCGTAGGTCCTGCGTAAGAGAAGGCGGTGCTCCGGCTCCATGTGCGTCAGGATCAACTGCAGTACCTCATCACAGTGCGTGGTGGGTCGAGCGGCACCTCCCTTCCAGTGCAGGCCTTTCTCTAGGACGGGGAATAAATCCAGCAGACACAGGAGCACAGCCTAGGAGGAAGTAATAGAAAAGAACTGTTCGTCTATTGGCATTCACATTCACTGATTGGTCTAGCAACTTTATTAATCTATCCTTGGGGTCTGTGTGATAGAATTCTGAAAGATACCAGTAATACATGAAGTGTATATTACTTTATATTTTCAAGTCTGTTTTACATCATTTCCAAACAAGTTAACACCCAAGCAGGGGGAGTGGGAGAGGGAGAAGCAGGCCTCCTGCTGAGCAGGGAGCCCAATGCAGGGCTCGATCCCAGGACCCTGGGATCATGACCTGAGCTGAAGGCAGATGCCTAATGAATGAGCCACCCAGGCGCCCCTAACACCTTCTCTTCCAGACTGTTCTTTGCTAAGCTATGAAATGGGACCTTATGGGCACAGCTGGGACTTTAACCAAAATTGTAGGAATCTAAGTCTATTGCCACTAAATTTCTAAGTTAAATTGACAATTACACATACTCACAATAAAACTGCTCCTACAAAGAATCTACGATGGTCCTCATCTGTATCCAGTCTGACCACCCTATGTGAAGTTTCAGTATCTAAGCACTCCCTTCTAGCTCTCTTGGGATTTTTTTTTTTCCTCTTAGTTTTGTTTTGTTTTTAAACCATCATCTAAAGAGCCCTAAGCTTTTTGGCTATCAATACCTGGATTCTCAATTTAATACTTAATATTTAAAAAGAAAGATGGCTGGGGGGATTGGGGAAGGGAGGACAGGCATTAAAAAAAAAGGCTATTTCTACCTCTGATTTTATAGAACTTGTTTCTTCTGTCTTCAGAATGTTCTTGCCTGTCCTAAGAAACTTCTGTTCATCCTTCAAATATCACCTTCTTCCTAAATCCTCCTAAAACCATCCCAACACCACCAAACCTGGTTAGCCTTTGCTGGACACCCACTGCATTCTATACAAACCTCTTCTTAATAGATTTATCACCCTGTACTATAGACATGTATAAATACTCATTTATTTACATGTCTTTCCAAAGGGTTTCTTAAAGCCAGAAACCCTGTGTGAGCCATTCACTCTTGGAACCTACAATGGTTATTCATACACAGTAGCTATTCAATGTCTTTAGGAAGGAAGAATGGCACTATAATACCCAATTTACAAAGAGTTTCAAGTGTGTGTTGATACAAAGAGGCAGAGAAGGACACAAGTTAATAAAAATAGAACTTTTCAGACAAAGCTGCCTTCAAGTGATACAGAATTGACCCAGATGCGAAGACAAAACACTGGCTCTTCTGTGGAGACTCAGAAATGTGGATGCCTGCTCAGTACTGAGACATTTTCACTAGTCATTTGCTACCTCTTTATTTTCAAGTTGGCTATGACTTAGTCATCATCCTCACTTTCCAAAAGAGGAAAATGTCTCAACTATTCTTATTCATGTAATACCACCTTCTACTCAAATTTGAGAACTGAGTACAATTACAATTACCTGAATGAGGTTGTACTCTGGTGTGTACAGGTGGTTGAAAAGGGCATGGTAGAGGACCTGGGCTCTGTTATACTGGAGCAAATCAGCAGCCGGCTGCAAGCAGACAAATTACCCAATTAAAATTTTTCCAAGGTTGCCAAAATGTTGATTTTTTTTTTAAAGATTTTATTTATTTTTGTGAAAGAGTGAGAGTGCGAGCATGTGCACCCAAGCAGCAGGGAGGAGCAGAGGCAGGGAGCCCCATGCAGGACTCCATCCCAGGACCCTGAGATCACAACCTGAGCCGAAGGCAGACACTTAACCGACTGAGCCACCCAGGCACCCAATGTTGGTAATTTTTGAAACTGAAGTATGGATACACAGAAGCTATCATGCCATAGGATTCATTATACTACTCTCTACTTCTGTGTATATTTTAAAAGCTCCAAAATACACAGTTTAAAAAAAAAGTTTCCTTGAGTAATATAATAATGGCTTGCATATTTGGATAAAACCTCTTTCAGTTTCTGATATTTTTTGCTCCTTGAAAGTCAACTGTTAATTACTCAAGGTCTGGTTATTCAGTTTGACATGCAGGATAATGGTCCAGGTGTCTTACACATGTTACCTATGAGGTACAATTTACTAGGCTGGCAGAAGGAAAATATAAAGACAAAAATATAAATAAGTGAATTTAGTCACATAACAACATTAAGAGGAAGCTAATAAAAGATAAAAAAAGACAACAATAAAATGGTATCATGATGACTCAATCTGTCCCATCCACACAGATGGCAGAGTGCAGAGGCTGCTTACCACATTCAGCACAATGTGATGGAGGCAGTGCACACCCAGTATTTTGTTCTCGGTTTGATAGTCATCCGAGATGAGCAGTGATGGGGGGAGTATCTTTTCCAGATGTTCATTCAGCCAGGGTCGGGTGACCTGTTGCAGAGTCCATGAGAAAACATGTTTGGTGGCAGGGTTTTTCTTCCAGGATTCCCTACACGGAAATGTAAAACCACATTAAGTAAAGTGACACAGTGTCAATCAGCAAAGAAAATCAACCTCTTCAAGCTAAACAGAGCATTTTCTTGTCCTTGAAAAGAATACATCCCACGTAACTCTTGATGTTATACATTTTAAGATTTAGATCAAAATAACTTACAGAACTTGCACTAAAGAACAAAAAACAACCTGACACTAAATACATTTAACAATGAATCTGCCAGGGCTCTGGGTCTAAAGCTTAGCCAATGAGAAGGAGCCATTTATAACAGTAGCTTGTAAAGAATCTGTGGTGATGGCATGGGTGGTTACAGGGAAGATGTGCTAAGAAGGGAGAGAGGAGTAAAAGAAACATCTTCAGTATTATAAGTATTACAAGGGAGCAAGTTAATCAATATTTAAACAAAAGCAATTTGCAGCTTATAAAGTGGGCTTACACACTTTACTCAACCTTCAAAATAACTGTGTAATAGATAATATTATCTTCATATTACAAAAAAAATGCAACAGGTTCAGAAAGGCTCTCTGACCTGGTCCTACTCGGAACCAATAGAAAGTACCAGACTACTTCAAAACTCCAAGTTCCTGATAAAATGACAGTTATGTACACATTTTTCTCTCATCACTCTCATGTTACTAATAGTAACGTATAAAGTAGCAAGTGGAACTCACAGAAAATACTTTAGCTGATAGCAACCTAAAGGGCTTTTTTCATCCCAAACACCACTTTCATATCTAACAACCATCCTCATCTAATAACTAGTGATGAGTTTCAAGATCCCTAAGTTTAAATTCAAATCATAAGTTTAAATCCTCTCCAAATCCTCATCCTCACCTAACTTAAGAAACCTTAATATAAATAAATGGGACAGACCTTCCGATGTCCAGGGCAGCTGTCAGGAGGACCGGAACGAGCACTAGGGAATGGAAGTCTGACGACCTAGGCTCTAATGTCGAACTTGCCAATATCTGATAATGTCATTTATAGCAAATTGCAACCTTCCTGGGCCTTAAGACATCTGCTATTATCACAACACCTTTATCTTACCATTGAAGAAACTCAGGTTTCTTTGAGCTCTAATATTCTAAAATGTTAGGCTGAAGCTCAAGTTAGTGGCCCTTTTGACAAGAATACTCACTTATTCAAATCAGGTTTGAGAAGCTCCATTATTACAGTAAATCTCCCTTTCTCATCTTCATTTTCTCCGTGCAGAAATCCTGCCACAGAACCACACTGAGTAACTCGGAGGAGTAAGGAGAGCACCTCTCCAGCAACGTCATGGGATCTCGGGCTGGTCCATGGTTGCTCTAAGCTGTGTGTGACCGCGAAAATATAGATGGGTCCTGCCAAGTGACGTAGGCCTATCTTCCATGTAGGACAAAGCAAGGAATTCTGGGCCGCCTCAACTTTCCCCAACAGTTTAAGAAACAGTACCCCAACTGCTGCCGCTTTCTCGGCCACTTCAGAGTGGACATGACCTCTACCTTGCTGCTCCTTGGGTGGGGCTGCATACTTCTCTAGGGCTTTTGCCACCTGCCCCAGCATCTCTGGCATTCCGCGGGGCGATGTGCCACTATCCTCAAATAATTGATCACATTCTGTGGCTTCTATTAGAGCACCGAGGTCCTGAATTACTGCACTTCTGGCCTTGCCCCGTCGGGACTCCTGGCTGGTAAGACGGTGCAAAACCTGGGAGAGGGACTGTCCGAGGGCGGAGGAAGGCCGCTCTCCCGGCAAGGAAGATCCTTCCTGCGATGGGGATTCCCGAGAGCTGTCCTGCTCCATTCCTCAGACTGCGGCAGTGATGAGCGGGTCTCCACCAGGAAGCCAAGATGGGAGGCTGGTGGGGATCTGCTAGAGAAAAAAAGATCACCCGAAGGCTGGAATTCTCCCAAAGAACGCAACTAAAACCAAATAAAACGGCAAGACGTCGCGGGGTGGGGTGGAGCTCGGGGGGCGCGAGTCTCACCCGCAAAAGAGTAAAGTCTGCGTAAAGGAAAAGATGCAGGAAAGGGAAAGGAGCCTCTCCGGGAGTAAGAGAGCCTCAGACTCCCAACAGTATATCAATTATTCTTGCCTTTCCGAAGATTAAAAACAAAACAAAACAAAACAAAACAACAAAAACCCTAAGAGTTTAAGAAATAAACCCCTAAGGCATGACACAAACACCTCCACGGGTGGTGCCTCCAGACCTTCCACCACGGCAGTACCTATTAGGATCCGGACCCAGCTCGCCTCGCTGCCGCAAAGCACAAGGCTAGCTTCCGCCAATATTCAGGCAACACTTCGTCATTTCACGACCTGCTTGTCGTAAAGCAACAGAGACCAGGTTCCCCCAAAAAGGTGGTGTTTGGATGAAAAATTTGCATAGACATATCCGCTCGCTAGTTTTGTTTTTGTTTTCATTTATTAAGGTAGAAACAAAAGAAAAATACCGAAGATATTTTAAAAGTATATCCGATTTCACTGTTTAGACTGAATATATAAAGCAAAAGTCTGTCACCCTTTCTTAAAAGTCAGTGGGATATACTCGGGACTCCTTAACAGCAATAACTGCATGATCCTTTTGTAGTTCATAAGTGTGATGATTGGGTGTTCACGCCGTTGTGTGACATGTGCCTCCCTCAAACCTTGTTACGATCTCGGCACATTACCCGTCTGACGTGAACTTGGAGGATCCTTTTTTTATTCTTCAGTATGTTGAGCGAGTTACTTTTTTTGTTATTCCTAGACTGTGTTGCGTCTGCGGGTTGTTGGAGCTGAGAGCAGTTTACCCGGTTTGTGAGCATCTAGCTTTGCAGTTTCGGAGTCCGGGCTGGTGCGGGTTGTAGCTTTTTATCTACGAGCCGGCTTCTTAAAGCGCATATCCGTAGACTGGTGCAGTTTAGGTGCTAGTGTCGGGCGAGGGCTTGGCTAGTGTAACTTGACCTCCCCACCCAGGCGCGGGGCGGCCGCGACGGCGCAGTCGCACTCCAGGCGGCCCCGCGGGTGTGAGCGCGCTGTACTCTGGGGCAGGCCCCCGCAGTACCGGTCTGGGCGGCAGGCGGTGCCGGGAGCAAGCCTCCGGGCGGTAGGCGATCTGCAGGTTCAAGCTGGGCGGCGCACAACCACCTGTTTTCGGTTGGGTTTCGACAGACGAGACGAGACGAGGCGGAGCGGGGCGGAGAGCCACTGCCCAGTGCGACCCGTTGTCCTTGCCCGTGTCATGCTACGTCGGCACTGCTTGTTCCCTCGCTGCGGGTTCCCTGAGTGTAGAATTGTGTCCAGTTGACATGGGGTACCCCATGGGAGGGTAACGATGCTTGGGAGTTCGTCTGTGGCTGCATGTAGCTTCCCCCGTGTCGTAGGAGCCCGGGGAAGCGGACTTCATTGCTTCCCAGGCATGAGCGGGAGCGCGGAGAAATGGGCGGTGCACAGCTGGAGGGGTCGGAGAGCCGGCTCGGCAGCTGCTCGGAGGGGGACCCCTCAGCTCTCGGCCGCTGCTCAAATCCGCGCTGCGGGGCGGGCGGGCGGGCTGGGCCTCCGCCGTGCACCCTACAGGTCGCCTACGGGCCTTGGGATTCCTGCGCCCCCCAAGAGTCTAAAGAGAGCCCTGCAGGATTTTTCCGATCGGGGGGGGGCGGGTGTAGGGAGGGAGGTGTCAACGGTAGTTTCTCCTCCGCAGGGGGTGATTATGCTACGGGAAGACACGGTGCTTTTGTCCCACCCGGGAGAGAGGGCACTGCTTGCGAGTATCCTGTCGTCTGCGCTTCTTTGCTCCCTTCCTCGTTCGCTCGCTGTGTGCCCTTGAAGAGTTCAGTAACCTCTCTGTGCCGTAATTTCTTTAACGGTAAAATGTGAGGCATGATAGTCCCTACTTCTTAGGATTGTTATTTTAAAATAAAGGAGTTAAGTATGTGTCAACAGCTTAGAGCCATCTCTGGTGAGTGTTAAATTCAATACCGGCGTTAATTGTTAAACCACAGCTTATGTATTAATTTACGTTTCCTCTTTTGAGGGAATTTTGTGGTTAGGACCCTTCCTCTCTGCTTCTTTCATTTGGCCTTGCCTTCTCTGACCAATTGGTGGCACTCATGATTTTCTAAGTAGTTTCAAACGTTGATTAAAAACAACAACAACAAAACTGAGTTCCTCCCATGGGGATTCTCCCATATTAAGGTCCGTGTGGGAGCAAGATGCCAGCCAACAGAGTGTCATTGTGTCCCTCCTGTGTGTGAGCCTGTCTGCCCTGTTCCACGCACCCTTTGTGCTAAGTGGATCCAAGATCTCACTCTCTTGTGAGCAAAGCGCTTGTATTGCTGGGGTCTCCCCCCTCTTCACTCTGAGTTTCCTGAGGCCAGAGACCATGTCTTTATCCCCAGTGCCTGGCACGATTTAGCGACGAAATAAATGTGGTTGAACTCACAAGTCTATCCACAGAAGACTGGCTGAATAAACCAGGGTACATCCACACAATGCTGTTCTGTGCAGCTTTACCAAAGAATGAAGCCCATCTCTGTGGAAGGCCACAAAACTCCAGGATACATCAAGTGAAAAAAGCAAGGCTGGGACCACATATACGTTGCCTTTCTTCTAACAAAGATGTGTGCTTTTGCTTACATTTTTAAGAAGAGGCAATGGAAGTGTAAATCACAAACTAATAAAAATGGTTACATATAAGGAAAAAACAGAGTGAAGGGAATGGGAGTGGAAACTAGGCTTATTTTCATATACTGTGTTTTATAGTTTGACTTTGGAATCATGTAAATGGCTTACATGATTATTTTTTTAAAAGAAAGTAAAGCATTTTCCAAAAGAAAAAAAAAGCCACTAATCAGAGTGTATCAGGAGTTACTGACATAACTACCTGGAAAAATAAGTAACTAACTTTAAAACTCATTATTTTGACTATATATCCTTAGGGTGACACATCCTCAGGATAAAAAAGAATGGCAAAGGAATCAAACTACACTTACTAATAGTATTTGTCAGTAATAATACTAGTATTGTTGTTTAGCTACTATTGCATGTATTTGTATTTTACATCTATATGTGTCAGTAAAATAGTAAATAAGTAATTGAATTGATATCGTTAGATATGAGGGTCTTCAGTGAGAGATGAAGGGATACAAGTATCAAGTCAATGATGTTAGGGATAAGTTGTATAATGGAAAATTTGAATCGGCAAAGGTAGGATGAGGCATGATTAATTTTTCTCTTTCTACAAAAATACATATATGTTAGCTATGTCCACTGAAAAGGCCAAGAAGCAATGACAGTCCATTGCCTACGAGCACCCCTAGTGTCCAAACTGATCATCTAAATGCCATTGCCCACTAAGAGGAACAAAGACCCCTTTAGGAGATGACTGATTTCAGAACTGGGGCAGAGATTGTGTAAAGATGAGCCTGTGGCATTTTGTTATGCCCCAGAGTAAGGTGGCTATCAAATACTACTGAGGTTATGTCAGAAAAGCCCAAGAGCAAAGATAAAGGGGCACCCTTTGGCTAAAGATGGAAGAGTTTGGGCTGAAGAAACAATAATAAGTGATTTATTGAAACATATCAAATGTATACAAATCCATGAATGCATAGTAATATTTTTTAAAATCGCTCATTGTTTACTCTTGTATCACCTAAGGAACAAAGTGTTTGGAAAATTGGTAAATAAGAGGGGAAAAAATCAAGCATTTATTCTGCTATCATTATTTCAGGATACCCAAATAGTTTGTAAGGAAAATAAATGCCACAGAACAGTTGGACTTAGAGAGTCACTCTTCACAACTCATAAAGAAACACTGGGACAAGCAACAATAGCTATTAAAAGTATGAGGTCTGGGGCACCCGGCTGGCTCAGGGAGTTGAGTGTCTGCCTTGGGCTCGATGGTGAGCCTGCTTCTCCCTCTGCCTGCAGCTCCCCCTGCTTGTGCGCTCTCTCTCTCTCTCTCTCTCTCTCTCTCTCGCTGAGAAATAAATAAAATCTTTTTAAAAAAATAAAAAGTAAAAGTATGAGGTGGGGGGCACCTGGCTGGCTCAGTGAGTGGGTAGAGCATGGGACTCTTGATCTCAGGGTGGTAAGTTCAAGCCCCATCTTGGGCAGAGAGATTACTTAAAAATAAAAATTAAAGTATGTTGGTGGGACACCTATTTTGGCTGGATCAAACTAAAAACCCTGAACCCACTGATTTATCTTAACATCACTGAGTGAGACAGACAGATACCACATGCCTCCTGTTGCAATAGGAAGTACACAGCGTCTACGAAATATTCTTGCACAAACATTGAACCTTCATCTAATCAAACTTCCAGATCTAACTACCAAATGGCAAGAAACATGGAGGACAAAGAAACAGATGAAAAGAGACTACGATGGTTTAATCAGTCAAATCAGGATGTGGGAAGTTCCACAAATTACCTGGTTTCTTCAATCGATGACGAGCATGAAAGAAATGGAGTAGAGGGAGAACTGATAGAGATTAAAAGTTTTTAAAGACATCTCAACCAAATGCAGTGTTGGATCTTGTTCTCAATACGTTGGAAAAAGACATACTGAAGGCAATTGGGAGAAATTTGAACATAGACTCATTATTAGGGTGTTCGTATAATCTGTCATCTAAACAGGGCATGTTGAAAGTTAAAGTCTACAAAGGTGTAAATTGGGTCTGTCCAGGCCAACTTGATTACCCTGGGGTTGCACAATTGTGTGGAATTATTGTTAATTTTTATATTGACATTATTATGTTTAATTTTAGAAGCTCTGTGTCAGAAAAGCAACTCTCAAAACTTCTAGTCGCAAAACTCTTTACA